CTACCCCTGGCTCCCACCATCCAAACGCCACAAACTAGCTCCTCGAGCTGCCACCTGCATCTTCCTGGGATATCATGATGCTTACAAAGGGTATAAATGTTTGGATGTGTCCGACAACAAAATCATTCTATCGCGCCATGTCACGTTCGATGAAGACAACTTTCCAAGTTCCCTAACTACCTCTGCTCCACAGCTCTCCTCATCTGCTTCACTACCTCCTCTCTTAGTCCCAATTTCTACTCTTCAGTTTCCCACAACCGAATCCTCTACCACCCAACCAAGGCAGCAATTCACCACGATCAATACTCTACCCCCAGCACCTGAGCCTCCAACCAATCCCATATTACCCTGTTCTCCACCCAAATCCACAAAACAACATCAAATGACCATACGCCTTCAAACCGGTCATCTGAAGCCAAAACAGCTCCTTAACTTGTTTCATCAACTCAGTCTTGAGCAACCTTCCAACTCTCCCGATCCTACTACCTTTACTGAGGCTAATAAACATTCTCACTGACGTGATGCTATGGCAACAGAATTCTTAGCATTACAACAACAAGGGACATGGACCCTTGTACCACCTCCTCCCCAAACAACCATCTTAGGATGTCGTTGGACCTACCGCACCAAACACCACTCCAATGGAACCATTGCCAAATACAAGGCCCGGCTAGTTGCTCAAGGACATCGCCAAGAACATGGACTAAATTACAATGAAACCTTTAGTCAAGTTGCCAAAATGCCTACGATTCGAGTATTACTCACCGTAGCTCTCCACCACCAATGGCCAATACATCAATTGGATGTTGCCAACACCTTTCTTCATGGGGATCTTCATTAAACAGTTTACATGGCTCAACCGAAAGGTTTTGAAGATAATATTCATCCAACCCATGTGTGCCTCCTAAAAAAAGTCATATACGGCTTAAAGCAAGCCCCACGGCAATTGTTCAACACCTTTTCTCAGCATCTCTTATCTCTCGGCTTCCACCACAGTAAATCAGACCACTCTCTTCTTACGCTTAGCCACGGTTCCACTCATATCTATCTCCTTATCTACGTAGATGACATTCTTCTCACAGGAAATAACTCTCAAGCAATCTCTCAATTCATTACTCAAATTAGCCACAAGTTCACTATGAAATATCTTGGTAATGCTCACAACTTCCTTGGTATTAACATTCAAAAGTCCTCCAACTCCTATTTTCTGTCTCAAGCTCAATATGCCAAAACCATCCTACTCCAAGCCGGCCAAGCCTCCTGCAAACCAAAATCCAATCCCTGTTTTACTAAACCTCTTGTTACACAGTTCTCGGATCCAATACTTCACAATCCTCTCATATACAAACAACTAACTGGTTCTCTCCAATATCTTACGATTACTAGACCAGACATTGCATATGCGGTTAATGTCTTATGCCAACACATGCATGATCCTCACCAACAGCATTTTCACCAACTTAAGCAACTATTGAGATACATCCTCGGAACTATACACTTTGGTCTACCTATTTTACCCGGACATCTGCAACTTAGCGTCATGACAGATGCCGACTGGGCAAGTGATGCAACCACCCGAAAATCTACATCAGGCTATTGTGCTTTTCTGGGAAACACACTAATTTGATGGAGTGCTAAGAAGAAGCATACTGTAGCTCGCTCATCTACTGAAGCAGAGTATCGAGTCATTGCCTCGGCCACGACTGATATTCTGTGGCTCAGACGTCTACTTTGTGATTTCCACATCTCATGTGATGGCCCAACTCTGATATTCTGTGATAACATGTCTGCCATCGCGCTTGCAAATAACCCAGTATTCCATGCGCGAACTAAACACATTGATATCGATCACCACTTTATTCGTGATCACATTCAAGCATCTCACATTCAATTGACTCCGGTAAGCACGGTAGATCAAACGGCAGACATCCTAACCAAACCACTCTCTACAAAGAGGTTTCAGCTTCTTCGTTCCAAATTGTTCGTCCGGCCGGATCCGTCAATTTGCGGGGAAGTATTAGCTATAGCTTCCACTACCTAAAGAATATTCACTTCCACTAACTACCCATGTGCTAAAAGCATCACTCTAGTCTAATCTCTACACAACACGTGTACACACTTACAGCTATATAATGTATACACTGTAGCAGAGCAAAGTAATGAATGAGCATTCCAATGAATTCACTTCCGTTCTTCTTCTCCTCCGCTTGGTTTCTCATCTGCAGGTGATGAAGACGAGGACGAACTTCTTCACATACTACTCTTCTTCTTTGACATTAAACAACGTCGACCGCTCTTTCATTTTCTAATGTAAAAGGAAAACATTAATCTAAATTAATTTTTAAGAAATAAAAACTTAAACTTGAAAATTTCAAATCCTATTTTTCCAAAATTTAATAGATGAAATCTCAAATTAATTGAAACAACTAATTGAGAGAGAGAGAGAGAGAGAGAGAGAGAGAGAGAGAGAGAGATTTACTTTCATATCTTTAAAGAAATCGAAAAAAAAAAGAGATGAAAAATGGCGTCATATCAGTGGAGAACCTCTAATATTCGCAGGGGGGGAGAAGAAAGTTTTTCATTTTCGTGTGAATGTAGGAAGGAAAAAAGTTGGTATTATATTTCAAATTTAATGACAGATTTGTAAGCCAGATATAAGTGGGAATTTAAGCGGACAAATCCGCCAGAGATTTTATTGACAAAGCCTCTTTCAAAAATGGCGGGAACTCTGTCAGAAATTCAATTGGAGTTACGACGATTTTGATTATACCAAAAATTAGGATGAAAAAGGCATTTTTTGTAGTTTTACAGATTATTGGAAAGGGCATATTCATCATTTTTACTAAAATTCAGACACTACCAAAATCCCCCATTTGATTATGCTATATTTTTAGACCAACTTAATGCTTTGACAAACTCAAAATTGAGAATTCTTGAGACACTAATTTTGACTACGAAGACAAAATCCCTTCAAATTTTCTTCAAATTATTGTGTTCATTTCATCAAACTGTCTCAACTAGGGGTGTAAACGAGTTGATTCAAGTCGAGTATTTGCCTAATCGAGCTACGCTTGTTTAGTTTTTACTGAGCTCGACTCGAGCTCGTTTACAAAACTTCAGCTCAACTCGTTAAAAAATTTCTAAGTTTGAGCTTGGCTAGATTGCTCGAACTCATTTGGAAAGTTCAAGCTCAACTCGATTCTGAGCTCAATTTCTTAATTTTCATTTTTTTAGAGTTTAATATAAAATTAATTTAAAAATATTAAAATATATTATATAATGCTAATTTAAATTAAATTTTAAATATATTTTAAGTTAATCAATCGACTTAGTGAGCTCTAGAGTCGAGCTAGTCTGAGCTCGAGCTTGTTTAGTATTCAAGCTTGGGTATAGGCTCAAGCTCAAACTCGTGGTTCAATAAACTCGACTCGTGAATTTGTTAACGAGTCAAGCTCGAGCCGATTCACGAGCCGGTTCGACTTTTTTTACTTACACCTCTCGTCTCAACTACAATTTTACTAAGAAGCAAAATTCAACTTTTATATCTCAAACACTCATATACTTCGTGGTTTAAAACTTACATTATATTACATGTTCCATGAGATTTTTTTATGGGGTGTATCAAATTTTTTAAAGAATCGTATCAATTATCATCATCCTAAAGATGCAGAATGGAAATGAGGGGGCCCCCTCATTAACCAAGTATCTAATCCATCAATCATATGCCCTCCTAGTTCCCAAAGTTTATCCATTCAGATATCTCATAACTCTCAAAACTAATAGTAAGCAGCTCCCATGGCCCAAAAGTCAAAGGAAAAAAAAAGAGTAAATAAAAGCCATAGCACCTACCGGATTACGGCAGCATAAGGCGATGGCTGAGGCGACACGTCATTCAATCTCGTACCAATCATTGAGGAGCCCATGAACGGCCCGTTCTCCGAGCAGCAACCCACGCTCAAATCCAACGGTCCAGACATCCTGAAGGGTCAAGACTAGTTTAGAACTTAAAACTTAGTTAGAGAGATACCCACGCTTGGATAACCTTCGGCTCCTCCGCGCACACACGGTCTCCTCCCATTGGTCCACGAAGCACCATCAGTACTACATAAGTGTACATCCTTGCTTGCCCTTCCGCGTGCGGGAATTCTTTTATTTGCAAAGTATAAAAACCATCCATGCCAATGAGAACAGCCGGCGGTGACGTGGCCGGATAAGTAACTTCATCCCCAAAGCTATCCTCGTTCATGGTGGCACGTGTCCGCCTGCCTCCACTTTCGTCAGGAATCTTTGTGGAGCTCGCTAGCTGCCGGACATAAACAGCGGACAGCCCTTGCGCAAATTGCAATTCACTGTTCTCGCTTTGTATGCCAGATAATTACGCCCAACGAGTTTCCTGTTGGATATCAATTAGAATGAACCATGTTAGCTATCAAGCACGGTACCGAACTACAGTATTGCGGGGCTAATGTGGCGCATTATGGTTGGTCTTTGGACGGCGTTCAGCATCCGCATAGAATAATTTATTGTTTGTATGAGATATTATTATGTGTGGTGTCTAAACAAGTCCAGAGGTCAATTAAGACGCATCACGTCATCCAATGCACGGAGGTCAATCCAAACATGCCACGTTATTCATTGCAATATGCGATGTGACATGTAGGAATTAACATTCGGACGCGTCCGGACACTGCACAGAATAATTTTTCTATATGTAGAGCTAGGAATTCCAAAACTAAAAAAATGGAGGTGTTATTTATTTTTTTTGCTCAAATTGAAACTTAATCATACTTAATAATCCAACTAATGAATCAAATTAAATTTCAGTTGAAGTCAAGCAAATCAAAATTAATTATAGCATTCTATTTGATGAAAAATAAAACCTGTTTGCTATTCTGGCACGTGCAGCTGCAGCTGATCTCAAATGAGAATATCCCAGGCACCCCAAGTCAAAAGTGTATAAACAATTGTTATTGTTGGTTATAAAAAGCCAGGATCAAAAGTTCCCAACAATTTCAAGAGCTCAACTCAAAAAAACTCATTTCCTTCCAAAAAAAAAGCTCTCTCCTTCTCTATCAAATCTAGTCTGAATCGAAGAATGGGCTATGAACTTCCTCCTGGTTTCAGATTCCACCCAACAGACGAGGAGCTTATCGTCTACTACCTTCGCAACCAGGCCATGTCGCTGCCCTGCCCTGCCCCCATCATACCCCAACTGAACATCTACAAATTCGATCCATGGGAACTACCTGGTTCGTCTCGTTTACGCTGCTAGATTTGCTTGATTTTACAACATCTATTTTTCCTAAACCCTAAAAACTTCTGATGCAGGGAAATCAGAGCTCAGCGAGGGAGAGTGGTACTTCTTCACCCCTCGTGACCGCAAATACCCAAACGGCTTGCGGCCGAATAGAGCAACCGCGTCTGGATACTGGAAGGCCACCGGAACCGACAAAGCCATTTACAGCAGGTCTCGCTCTGTTGGCGTGAAGAAAGCGCTTGTTTTCTACCAAGGCCGCCCGCCTAAGGGGTGCAAGACTGACTGGATCATGCACGAGTATCGGCTACACAACGACACCCACAGCCCCTTCAAGGCTAACAAATCCATGATAGTAAGCTTCGAATCTACCTATACATGATTGAATTGCTTCATCCTGGTTTCTTACTTAGTTTAGGGTTTATGTAGTTGGACGAATGGGTGCTGTGTAGGATATACCAGAAGAGGCAGACCAGGAGGAATACAGAGGATGTGGTGTGCGGAATAGAAACGCCTGTGCAAGAGGAATCTGCCATGGAGAATGAAGATTATGAGAAGGAGCCAATGTTTCCACGTTCATGCTCTTTGGTTCATCTTCTGGAGGCAGATTACTCTCAGCTTTTTGGGGACTCGGCTTTGGGCTCCATTGACGACCTCTTTGAAAGCTGCATCGGGGATGATGGAGACACTCCTATTGAAGATTCAGCAACCATGAGGATAGCTGGGAATCACAACGTGCTGTTTGGAAACCAGATTTTTGTGGATCCAATTTTCCAGCACTAGGGAGCTTAATCTCAGAAGAGGGGAGTCGTGCAAGACGGAAATCGGCCATGAACCTCTTCTTCCAGAATAGGAAAAAAAATCTACAAAATATTGCCAGAGGGTGTCTCTAAATAGATGATGCTCGGTGGAATGAAAAGCTCAATTTGCTGTTTCCTTAAGACAAAAACTTTTAATTTAAAGTTTATACTATAAAATATACTGATCAATTAGTATATCCAGAAGAACAGAGCTCAATTGAAATTCAAAGTTAAATCCCACCAAATCTCACAAATTGAGCATCTTCTCAGAGCCAGTCTTGAAATTGATAGATAAATCATCCAAGCGCACATATAACATTAGGACTAATCTGTAATCAACTAGAACACAAGTGACAAGATGAAAGAATCCAGCAGTTTGCAATTTGGGTTGGATTGGATTGGTATAAAGGGTTGTTTGTATTACCATCTGAACTAATCCATCAAGCAAATGTTTTAAGACAAGAACCATATTACCAAAAAGCGTCCTCATGTATAAGAGATATTTTCTCACACTTCACGAATTATATATTTTTTTCCAACTAATGATCTCAATAATAGTCTTAGATAAATAGGATTTTTTAGGTGCTTCCTATATGCTGAAAAGTGGGTTCTCATTATATAGTATTTGTTTTTTAAATGTATTAAAAAGGTAGCTCTTTGAAATAATTTTTTATCAACGGATGACACTTAATTCTCATATCCTGACAGGTATATTTCCAAGATAACTCTATGTGATAGAATAGGCCCATGATGCATAATACGTCTAATGTTCATATATATATATAAGAGCTCACACATAAGGTCTTTGAGAGCTTTGGTTTAACCCTATGTTGAATTGTTAGAATACATATATTTTGATACAAAAATAACAAGTGATTGACCTCAAGTAGAAACATATTTTTTTACAATGAAAATAAATTAGACAACTAAAATATCTAGCCAATTTTGGCACCATCATAAAGTTCAGACTCGCTAACATAATTGTTACACTAAAAAACATCTTGATATGGCAGTCATAATTTATAGCGTAATCAAGCTAACAGTAAAACAATTGATTGTATCAAAAATTTATCATAAATTTTAATTCATTTACAATAATCTAAACTACCACCAGACTTCTCATATAAAAAAAAAAAGAAATTAAAAAAACACTTATTAAGTAGAGGTTCAAAAAATTATTACAAAAAAAATACTACCATTTAAACAATAGCTAATATTTAAACAATGGTTTGAAAAAGGATTAGCCTTAAGCCTATGTCTTTTTGCTTTAGTCATGAATGTTCTCACTAAACATTTGCAAGAGGTTGTACCCTGCTGTATGTTTTTTTTGTTGATGATATTCTTCTTGTTTATAAGACTAGAGAGGGAGTTGAATGTAAACTTGAATTATAGAGGTCAATCTTAGAGTCTAAAGGTTTTCGTTTTAGTAGATCTAAAACCGAATATATTGAATGTAATTTAAATAGTAATAGATCTAATATGATGATTGTAACTTTGGACGATCAAGCCATTAATAAGAGTACACATTTTAGATATCTTGATTCTATTGTTCAGAATGATAATAAAATAAATGAGGATATTATTAGTAGAATTCAATTTGGATGATTGAAGTGGAGGAATCCATCAAGCTTGTTGTGTGATAAAAAAGTCCCCCTAAAACTTAAGGGAAAATTACATAAGATGGTGGTGAGATCTGCAATGCTTTACGGTGCAAAATGTTGGCCATTAAAAGAGAAACATAATATTAAGTTAAGTGTTGCATAAATGAGGATGCTTAGGTGGATGAGTGGATTTACTCTTAGAGACAGAACATGAAATGAGTATATATGTGAAAAGGTTAGAGTAGCTCCAATGGAAGATAAGAATAGAGAGAGTTGTTAGATGGTTTGGTCACATAAAACAGTGGCCTTCCGATGACCTAGTTAGGAGAGCAGATGTATTAGATTTGACTTATGTTAAGTATGGTAGTGTTAGACCTAAAAAGACTTAGTTAGAAAATATTATAAATGACATTTCTTTATTAGATTTAAATAAAAAATTTGACTTTTAACCGGACATAAAGAAAAAGGATTCATATAGCCAACCCCACATAGTGGGATAAATACTTGATGTTGTTGTTCTAAACAACAACTAATATTTGCAACATAGAAGAGGCAGCGATATAAAGCTTCTTAAAACACCTACGTTTAGCAGCATTTTAATTAATACAAATCTTAGAACTTAGTAAAGGCTTTGACAAGTAATAGAACCTTTTAGGCTCTTCTGTCGAGTTAGTCAGCAATGAATTATCAGACTTCCGTGCTGAAACCCTCACTTATGTTTCTATTTGAACCTATTAATTGATTTATTGAGTATGAATATGGTGGTATTAGTAAAATCTTGATACAGCACATCGATTCTGCAGTTTTTTTCCTTTAGAAAAGCTACCTAATTACCCTTAGGTGACTTAGACTTTATTGGGGACAACGTTTTTATTTGCTTTCTAAAATAGCTTTTTTAAAAAAAATTTCAAACTCAAAAAAATTTTGTACTAAAAGACTGACTTAAAAAATAATAAAAAAGTTGTCCCAAATGAAGCCTTATATTTATTTAGTTTTATTGGGCTTATTTCCCTAAGATGATTACAATTTCAAATCCTTAAACCCAACCTTTGCTCAGAACCTTACCCAAGCCAAATCTTTCAGCTGCGTAGGGAGCAGATTAAAATTATAACAGGTTCACTAAAACTGATTGGTTCAGGGTGGCTTTGCATTAGCTATATGAAAAATTTTCTAGCATAGTGTAAAAAGAAAACAAGTATATTCCTTGTACAAATAATACATGTCTATGGAAGCAATCATGACCGAATTATATTTTTTAGTTCTGCTTCGGTTGGTTATGGCATCATGCCCTTAAACCAATTTTATAAGAAAATCAAGACCAACTCAATTTTTTAAATTAACTAAACAAATTAGAGATTGACTAAAATTATAAAAAATTTAAACAATGCACAATTTGGGTTGGTCGGTTTGAAAATAATTAATGAGGTTTTCTCGCTCATTTTTTTCTCTTTATTTTTTTTTATGTCAATTGAAAAGTAGTTGAGGGGCATAAAATATCTAATAGATCTTTTTTGGCTTGTGAATAGTCAAGTTGCAGTTGAGTAAGAGAAATAGCACTTGAGCTTGTTTGGTTCATCTGCTTAACTGAGCCTAGAATTTTTGCCCAGTCTTTCCTCTGATTGAGACAGACTCGCAATTTTGTCAAATCCTAGACAATAAGAGAGTTTAAGAAAGTGCTTTTTATAAAATCGATACCAACTTTTTTGAGGGAAAACCGGGACTTTCGATGCTATGAGTATAACAAACGACTAACAAACACGCAACAAAAGTTAAGTCAGCCAAACATAAATAAAATGTTTGCTACAGTAAAGTGGGTGGAATCATCAATCTAAGTTTTCTTCCCATTTTCTAACTCCATTCTTAAATTGTTCAAGAAAATTAGCAAGCAAGAAGAATTGGAAGACAGGCACCATTACAAACCATTGCATGCAACCATTTCAACTGAATACAAGTCAAATCACCAAACATGGTCAAACCTAAAAAATGGATTAATTATTGCATGCACCTCACCATATTTGTAGGGCAAACTCTTCGTCCCAAATTTTTTTGATCTGTAGAGCACCATATAGAACTATCTCATGTTATATCTTGAAAAAAAAGGGACAATTCAACCTAGGTCAGTGATAAACTTCTTGATTAAATCAAGAAGGATGGAACACTTTTTGAATAGGCGGGACTCCTTGAGGAAGAAGAAGAGAAGAGGGAATAGAAGAAGTAGAACTCTCATTTCCTAGACAACAAATTACAGCAAGTGGGTTTATTTATAGATTTGTACAAGTGATTTGAAGGGAACTAGTGTTAGAATTTATGGAATCTGATTGTCTGCTCAATGTACATCATTAGCGTACAGCGCCGTGAAACTGTAAACTAGAGCGCTGTGGTGAAGTAGTCTCAAGTTGGAGATAGAGAGCAAAGAGCCACGGTGCTACAGAGTGAACTCAGGGATAGAGTGAAGTGCTACAATTCTTTATGGTTCAGAATGTTGGTAATTAAAAGAGAAGTATAATATTAAGTTAAGTGTTGTATAGATAAGGACGCTCAGGTGGATGAGTGGCTTTATTCTTAGCGACAAGATACGAAATGAACTTATACATGAAAATGTTAGAGTAGCTCTAGTGGAAGATAAGATTAGAGAGAGTCTCCTTAAACGGCTTGGTCACATAAAACAGCAGCCTTCCGATGACTCTGTTAGCAAAGTAGATGTATTAAATTTGACATATGTTAAGAAAGGTATAGATAGACCTAAAAATACTTTGTTAGAAAATATTATTAATGTCCTTTCTTTATTAGATTTAAATGAAATTTTGACTCTTAACAAAACATACTAGAGAAAAAGTATCTATATAGACGACCCCACATTATGGGATAAATTCTTGGTGTTGTTATTGTTGTAATGAATAATACGACTTCACATGGGTAAACTTATACACATATTTCAACAATTAAAATTCATAAAATCATTCATATACAATATGCACAAAGTCAATAACATTTCAATGCTTTTATTATTTTGTAGCAATCTCTACAAGTGTTAGTATACTCATTAAAATGCCTAAAATATCATATAATAAAAAATACCCAGTGGAAATTTAGTTTATATATTTTTAGATGACCAAAATGTTTCATTCCACAACATATTAAAAATTATACGACAAAAGTTTTCTCAATCTTTGTAAACTTGAGTTTTTAATTAAAAATTAGTACAAAAGCCACAAAATTGAAATCTAAAATAGTGTAATAGTAACCTAAGCCTACCTTGATCTGAACAATATTTTCAACTGTCATGACAGACAAAATCGGCTTTAAAATCTCTAAACTTGGCTTCTCTCTCCTATCTTCCTTCTCTTTCTCTTCACCTCTTCTCCCATCCAAATAAAACAAATGAATATGAAATGAACTTTTAAAAGTGGATTTAGATATTTATATAAATATTTTTCCTAGCATCGCAGTGCCCCTAAGGGTCGAATTCAGCCCTAAAACAGAGAGATTAACGTTGCAAAGCCAATATGGAATTGAAGCATCGCGAGCCCCTAAGAGGCGCTCCCCCACTCATAAATTTCCTAAAAACATAGAGATCAACATTACAGTGCCGTATGACAACACCTTACATCGTAGTGCCACAAATATATAGGGAAGCATTGCAACGACAACACTACAACGCCGCAGTGCTCCCAAGAGGCCATTTGTAACTTATAAAATTTTCTTCCAAATTTAACTAGGATATAATACAACATTAATAATTCATAGAAAATCAATAATTGTCACACAAACATGCAATTCTTGCACGATCAAAATTAAGTCATTTCACGTCATTCAATTACTGTTTAAGTTGTCATTACATTGTTAGCCTAAAATATCGCATATCTCAAAAGCATTGTGTTCTTAGATATCAACACTTTGATGCTCTTATTGAGAATATGTGATGCAAAGCATATTCA